CCACATAGTTCATATCTTCAAGGTGCTGGTGATGATGATCATGCTCTGTATTCCATGGATTACCAATTGGCTGGCTAATGCAAGATGTGCACAAGCTCCCGTTGGTAGTGTCTACTATGTGAACCTGTTGCTTCTGCCCTGATTCCTCCACCTTTTTGGTGAGGATGCTCATTTGCGTCAAAAGAGTCGCCATGTTTTCAGCCATTGTATTAGAAGGATCAAGAGGCACTGAGTGCACCACTGGAGTGATGGGTGCATCTAGATGTCCAACCCGAATTCTGCGCCATCTTGTCGAGCAAATTCTGACCTTCTCTCCAAGTCTTGCTCAAGAATGCCCCACCAGCCGAGGCATCAACTATATTCTTCAAGCTGTCTGACAGTCCCATGTAAAACCGTTGTCCCAACATCTGCTCTGGAACACCATGGTGGGGGCACATAACCAACATTCCTTTAAATCTGCCCCATGTCTCGTGTAGTGTCTCCATTGGTTTCTGTTTGAAGCTCACAATCTCATCAATTTGTTGAGCGGTCTTTTTGGGAGGATGGAACTTGTTGTGAAATTGCTTGACCAACTCATCCCAAGTTGCTATAGAGTTTATGGGAAGCGAGTTTAGCCAAACCTGAGCAGCTCCTGTCACCGAGAATGGAAACAATAATAATCTGATTGCTTCCGGAGTCACGTTCGGTTGCCTTTGAGTTTTGCAAATAGACAGGAAGTTCTTTAAGTGTTGCTGAGGGTCTTCTGTTTGTGTCCCAGAAAAAAGTCCCTTGTTCTGCAACAAGTGTAGCATGTTATTTGTGATCTGGAACGATTCAGCTTGTATCGCAGGCACAATAATGGCAGTGGCCAGATTGTCAGCTGTGGGTTGTGCCCAGTCATAAAGTGCACCCTCAGGCACAGGAGGTGCCAATTGCTCATTCCTGACGTTCCCGTTGGGGTCGTTTATGTCGCCCATGTCAATTTTGAGTTGGTGTGTTTGTTGTGATTGTTGAAGTCTTTTGTTTGCACGATTCAATGCCCGGAATGTCTTCTCGGTGAGAGTCCTTCAAGTAGTTCTCCAGTCCTCGTAGAATTTCTAGGCATGCACTTGTGTACCCAGATCCACAACCGTCAAAATTTTCAATGAAAAAGTTGGTAGAGAGAAAACTGACTACAATAAGAATCTTTGTATTTCTGTCAATGGCAATTGATAATTCAATTAACTCCCCGGCAACGGCGCCAAAATTTGATCACGCCCAACTATGCCTTATAAAAAGGACTCTGCGGACGTTGCAAATATAACCCGAGTATTACGCCCAGGGTCGAATCCACAGAGAGTTAACCTATCAACCGCTATCTTCAGACCCACCAAGTCTTCAGAACCAGCTTCTCAAATATTCAAATTTTCAGTTGAGTGTTCTTTAACAACTAGCTTGCAAGTAACTAATGGCTGTAACTAAATTAATAAGGTTGTAAACAATTATGAGAAAAAGCTAAGGCAATGATTTCCCCTATTGATGGAATCCCTTCTGTTTATGCTCATACAAATTTACCCACACATCTCTATCAATCATGAACGCTAGTCTTACCGCAAATCTCCCGAGTAATCACAGTAATTTACTATTGCACTATTCCAAGATACACTAGCTTACTTTATTTAGCACGATTCACTTTAGATTACACCAAAGGCTTCGTTATCCCTAATTCCGCCTTTAAACCCGCAATTATAGATTCCTCTAATAATCTAGGAGTGGTGTTGTTCAACAATAACCTAAATATGCACTCTTTTTCAAGTTATGCACACTAAATAGGCACAGCTAATTGAGGATCCTGTCAATTAACTACAACGAACACGAAGTTGAACAAATAGAGATTAAACTGGCAATTTTGTATTCACATAAACAAGAAGTTCATCACCCAATAGGTTCCATCAAAACCTTAGACAAGGAATTTAGCTACTCATGGCTATGGGAAAATTAACTAAGATTGAATTCATCATAAAATCAAAAGAAAAGAAAAGACGAAAGATGTTCAGAGTATTTTCTCACAATGTTTTTCCTTGCTAAGAAACCTAAAAAATCAATACATGCCTCTCTTGGGCGAAGTCTAATGTTTTAAATAGGGTTTAGGTCTAAAAATCCCGTAATTGACACTTTGGTCCCTGAAGTTTCTGCGCCTACCGCGGTTCTGCCGCAGTCGCGGTGGAATCGCGGTGGACCCAGTGCTCTGAATCTTCAGCCTGTTTTTGCACGGGTCACTTGGGAAATTTCATAGTTGGCCTCTTTTTCATCACTTTTGACTCCAAAACTGCTCTTTAGCCTTCTTTATACATATATCACCTACAAATCATGAAAAGCACTAATAAGAGCATTTTGTCATCACTTTTAGCATTAAAACTACACAAGAAGGTGATTATTTAAGGTGTGATTATAGTCAAATTCACCTATTATCAGCTTTACACCTTGGTTACAAAATCATAAAATGTCTAAAAGTATTGATCTTGCATCATAATCTTGAGAGACAGTAATCCATGAAGAAACATCAAAACGACGAGATATTAATGGATGGTTAAAAATTCTTAAGGCAAAAGTTGTCTTACCAATACCACCCATACCAACGATTGAGACTACATTCAGTTCTGATGTCTGTCCGATGAGTTGATCTCTTATGCTGTTGAATTCATCTTCCATCCCAACAAGAGTGTTTTCATCATCTAAGATAGTATGCGGCGGTGAGCGGAGAGGTAAAGAAATTGTTGCTGGCAAACCTTTGATATTTTGATGGTCATTCTTGAACTTCAACACCTCTCCTTGTATGGAATCCATCTCTTTTGTTATTTGCTCCAACTCATCACAAAGCTTAGAACGAGCAGTGTTTCGATTGTCTTCAGTATCAGCCACATGGATTCTTCTTAGGCACAATTCAACTGTAATTTCTACTTTATAAACTGCATCTCTAATTTTCTTCTCCAAAAAAGTCAACGATTCTTGATCATTGATCCTATTTCCCATATTATCCTCAAGGAAAGTTTGCAAGCAAGAAAGTTTTACAAAAAAGAGAATCAAGGGGTGTCCTATTTTCAGAAACCAAACTTGGATTGAATTTTAAGACTTGCTCCAGAGTTGTCATAAGTGAAGTTACAAGAGCATGAGCCAGGGGCGGCTCAATACTATTGTGGGTGTGTTCTTTTTTGAGAATTTTTATATATTTGAAGTCTATTTTTCTACTTTTTGAGATGCAAGGTTGTGAATAATTGTTTTATAATCTCTTTCTTCTAATATTACTTTTTCAATTAATAATATAGCTAGTCCATTCAGTTTCTCCCGAGACATTGTTGATCTTAAATAAGATTTTTGTTAAGAAACTTAGCTCAAAGTAATAATATGAAACAAGCAAATAGACAAGAATGTAGGGAGCAAGGGAGGAGAGATTCTTATTACTTTCATATATTCAAGTGTGTACATTGTGGTGCCAAAACCCTCTATTTATAGGATTACATAGAGACATACAAAAGAATGTCATAAACATGACATTAAACATTTGAGATCATGGAGGAAGATCATGGGGAGGTTATGGAGGTGTGGGAGTTACAACTATAATGGTGAGAAGTAGTGGGAGTTATCTACATAATGGAGAAGAGTAGTGGGAGTAACTTCTTTAGGAGTTATAGACATCCACTACAAAATATAATATTTCATAACACTCCCCCTTGGATGTCTATAGATAATGTGCCTCGTTAAAACCTTACTAAGAAAAAACCCTGTGGGAAAAAATCTTAGTGAAGGAAAAAGAGTACACATATTTTGTAATACGCATTATTTGCCGCCTCATTAAAAACCTTGCCAGAAAAACCCAGTGGGATAAAATTTTAGCTAAGGAGAAAAGAGTACAACGCGTATTTGCCTCCCCCTGATGAAAATATCACTTTATTCTTCGGAGATGATGAATTCCAAGCTTATATAACAACTTCTCTAATATTGAGATCCGCAATACATGTGAAGAAGTTTGTCAAATTATCACTTGAACAAATTTGTTGAAGAACTTTGGTAAATGTCCTTTATTTTGTCTCCTTCGATGGTCCTTCTTTCAATTAAGCTATGCATGCAGTATCATCTTCAATGTAATTGGAACCTTGTTGAATATCACAATATGGCATTATCCTCATATACAAATAGATTGTTTCAAGAACGAATTTCAGAAAATGCCTGCATTTCCATAACCAACAAAACCTTGACAATAATTGTTAGAATAAACAAATCTATATCAAAGATTCCTTTCGCAATATAACACTAATCGTATTTCGATATCTCCATATAGCCTTTATACTTTCAGCTGTTGGAACTATCCGTCCAACTTCATATTTTTCAGATGAAGTCAATTTTCATTGCATATTTTTATTTGGCCAATCATTTATCTGTCCAAATTCCATGACAGATTTGAGCTAAACATCCTCATCAATATTAATAATATTGGGCTCTACATTATATAAACAATATCGGTAATGATCATTTTACATCGGTTCCGTCATTACCCACTAAAGACATAACTTATTGAGATCTCTTTATCTCATTATTTTCAGGTACCTGAGCCTCTCCCATGAGGTCTTTTAAAGTGTTATGTCATGGTTCTCTTATATAGCACTTGCCTCCTTATTATGACCATCTTGAACATTTGCTCCTCTCCTTTTTCAAGGAGTTTTATCTTTGGAAACGATTAGTCTATTACGCTTCATGCGTTCCAGAGACTATGTCCATCATGGACTTTATTCTATTTGTAGCATTAGTAGCTGAAATATGACATTTAGTTTTGGGTCAGCAAATGCGCATGCCAATATTTTTCAAATGAATTATCACTTGAACTTCAAGTTCATATTTTCTTGTACGAGGATCTAAGTGTACTCATAATAATTCATTCCATGTGTTACTTTTTTCAGCTGCTTGTTTTCTTTCCCTAATGTTGGGATCACCAACACATATACCCAACCTTCTTTGGGGACCAATCTTTGTGCATTGTGGTGGCACAATTAAATCATATAGTACATCCATATTTCTAGATGAAAATATTTGATTCCTGACCCTGAACCAATTGTGATTGGGAGAATGTATCATAACTTGTTGGCTAGATGCGTACAAGTGCTGTTGTATATTAAATAATATACCTCATACCAAATTTCGATTTGGGAGTTTTATTTTCATAACTAATGGTTTATCTTAATTGGAGGCATATAATTTCTGCTAAACCAACTTTGATTTAAACAAGCATTATCAAAATAAATTATCATAATTTTTATTTTGGAACTGTGCTCTAATAACTTGAGCAAGCAACCTTGCAAAAGCCAAACTGCAAGTTGACAACAAACGCACATGTGACCATACAATAAATGCATCTTTTAAAATTATATAATAGTAAACAGTCCACATGGCATGTGACTGGGCCCATATATATATATATCACCTTTTATTCGTTCCAGATTTTAAGGGATTCAATCCCAACCTTGACTGGTATATCATGAGAATAAGCAGCACAAGAGAATTCTTGAAGAATCTTCTATTTCTTCAATATATACCGATGTGAATTCTCAATTAATTTTCGCATCATAATTGAACCGGGATGGCCAACCGGCATGCCAACTGATATTTATTTCAGTAAACATTTAATTTACTATGGCATGTGATTTCATCATTATGCTTATACATCTGTAGTACAAACAGAAGAAAAATGGGGTAACCTTCATATTTACCCGGTATGTTATAGTAATATAGAAGATAATCAATCTTCCTTTAATTTATGATCTCAATATGCCAACCACTTTGGCTAATACATTTGAAACTCAAAAAGTTTGTTTTGAGACTTACTACCACCAATACCATGAATAATTTTATTTATTCGGGTAGTAACAAATTCACTCTTCTGGAGCTCTCAATAATTTGCACTACAAGATCTTTTATAACACCATCCAAGTGGTGAATTTTTCCTCCACAGAGCTACAAGATCTTTTATAACACCATCCAAGTGGTGAATTTTTCCTCCACAGAGAAAATTATCTTATCATAATAATTGTCATGGTCAAAATCATCATAAGCAAAATTATTTCTTGCTTTAGTTTTGCCTTTAATAACTTTTTATAAGGCATGGCAAAATATTTTTTTGGCGTACCACATGTACGTGACTGATGACATATTCATGTAACCGCCCAATAATATTCATTATATTTCTTTCTCTCAAACCTCCCGTAGAGGTGAGTTGTAGCATTTATTCAACCATACATAAGCATATTATTATGCATAATCTTTATCACATGAAGTATATATTTTCACATTCACTTTCAGGAATGAGTTTGCATTTACAATGCTTATCACAAGTCACATTTTCAAGTAATGGACTATAATCATGTGAGTGTGTCTCGTATTAACAGACCACAACGATACATATTTCCTTCACCTTTAAAGGATCATTTTGAGAACCCTTATTGTTCTCTTTTTTATAATTACAATAATGATGACTATTATTATTTGATCTTTGGCACGCCTACGTTCAATGGTCAACTACTTGTCTTCATTTAGACTTCTTATGCATCATCACATTCACTTCAAGAATGGAGCAAATCAAGTGGGACATTTCATGCCTTTTCATGAAAGATACATTATTTTTCTTTCATTATATAATCAATATAGTGCATTGGTACTTAAAGTCAATGCCTTACCCATATAAAGGCATGTTAGGCTATAATGAGTTGGGACTCAAATCCAACTCTTATCATCATAGTGCATCAGGACTTGAATCCGATGTCTTACCCTTATGGTGCGCTGGGACTTGAATCCACCGTCTTTCCCTTAACCAATGTCATAATGGACTGGAACCATTTAAAATATTACCACTTCATAATTATTGCCATAGTCCAGCGCGAAGACATGTTTTTAAGAGCTTGATGTACTATTAAGCATTCAGATCTCAAAATACCATATATTTCCGCAAAACACTAAAAACACCATTGCGATGAATGAAATCAGAAAAAAAACTTATGTATGGTCAACTTCATATTAGATTTAATTTCTTAGGATTAAAAGAACATAAAATTTAATATTTGTGTATAGTATAATTGTATAAACCCTTACCATTGTGAAGAAAAATTAAAAAGTTACCTTGCCGCCAAAAGGGTATGGCCAAAGCCATGGAAATTAAAGAACACCTACCACATAATCTTGAAATAGAAGATCATGAAATAAGCAATTCGTGCTGATAACGTGTTAAGAAACTTAGCTCAAAGTAATAATATGAAACAAGCAAATAGACAAGAATGTAGGGAGCAAGGGAGGAGAGATTCTTATTACTTTCATATATTCAAGTGTGTACATTGTGGTGCGAAAACCCTCTATTTATAGGATTACATAGAGGCATACAAAAGAATGTCATAAACATGACATTAAACATTTGAGATCATGGAGGAAGATCATGGGGAGGTTATGGAGGTGTGGGAGTTACAACTATAATGGTGAGAAGTAGTGGGAGTTATCTACATAATGAAGAAGAGTAGTGGGAGTAACTTCTTTAGGAGTTATAGACATCCACTACAAAATATAATATTTCATAACAATTTTATTAATTTTAATTTTGAAAATATTCTTTCCGGGCAATAGGCATATGGAAATAAATCAAGTCTTTTATATTGAACACTAATTTCCTCTTCTTCTTGGATGGTGTTAAACTGTTATCATCTAACTCAACTTGCTTAGTCATTTGTTCATTTCGAGAATATTCTTCTACAATTTCTAGTTGAGTTTTTTTATTATTTATTAAAAATTTATCAATAGCCCCTTTTTCGGATTGTATCAAAGATTCAACTTTTCTCTTCTTTTTTTTCAAGTTGAATAACCGGGCTCATACTTTCTCTTTGACATATTTGAATTCTAGTAAATATTCAAACGATAATATATAACTACGCAACAAAATATTCTGGAATAGAAGAATCTGATTCAATAACTTTGAAATATTTGTTGCTTCAATAATCTTCGTGTTCGTGCAATGCGTGATACCCAAAAAATCACAAAATAATAAACTATAGCTTTTCTTGAACAATATTGTGAGATGACTTTCTTGGAAGAACAAAGAAAATATAATAGCAATATATTGCACTGTCACTTTGTGAGAAAGTATTTTAAGAGTATTGTAAAAGGTAAACCGAGAAGGAAGTGGA